GACTCTTTTTTTGCAGAAAAAAAAAAAAAATCTAGGATGCTGTGTGTTGTGTTAAATGTCCAGTTATGAAGAAATACAGTTTCTGGTTGAAGATATTAGAGTAGAAAAGCGGCCATTAAACATTCCTCCTTCCTATATTTCTTTGGCTTCCTGGGAAAGCCAGGCCCAGAGCCAGAACAAAATAAAGTGTGATTGAGTTATGGAGTGGTCTTCCATATATCTCAAGTGTGAGAGAGACACAGAGAGCTAAATGGTGTAATCATGAAAGTAGGATGTTAACTCAACATAGGATTATTTTTTCCTGCAACTTACACCTAGAAAATGAACATTGGATAAGTGACACACAATACATGGCATTATTCCAAAAAAATCTGATTACAAACTAAATTGTTATTTTTATAAAATCTTAAGAAGCATACTCCTCAAAACAAACCAATGTTTTCTAGCAGTTTTTAGGTAAAAGGTAGCTCTAAAAGAATTCCTAGACTTTTAACTAAGAGTAACTTCAGCTGAAAACATCTCTTTTGGCAATCAGATGTCATAGTACCCCTTTAAAGGTATCCAATAATTAACATGGCCTCTGGCAACTTCAAATGTTGGCAAAATTTATTGGGTTATATTCTGACCCTAAGGCAAGCAATTTAATTTCTGTGTATCTCTCTTTCTTCATCTGGAAAATTATGATAAACTCTTTGGTTTGTGTACCACAAATGATTGGAAAACATCTCAAATTCTTTTTGGTCAAAGTTAATTTGGCTGCATTGTTTTCTAGGAATGAGCACATTTTAAAAACAGACAACCCACAGAAATGTTGCTAAATTGCATAACTCTTCATATATATCCTTACTGTGCAACTGTTAAATAAGTACAGGGCATGACGTTGCTGGGCTGATACCACAAGCATTTCTACCTTTTTACTGATTTCTCATTATGCTGTGCTTCATTTTCTGTATTGGTTTGATTAAATCATGACAGACTGCTTTCATCAGAGAGAAGCCCAGAGAGCCTGGATTTCTATTCCTGTCTTGACAATCTCACCACCCAAACCTCTACTTTGCTCTCAGCTTGGCACAGTGAAGAGTTGAGTTCATGTTCAATATCCGTTATCCATTGTAAGGATCTAGGGAAACTTTATTTATTTATTTATTTATTTATTTTTGAGACAAAGTCTTGCTCTGTCTCCAGGCTGGAGTGCAGTGGCGAGATCTCGGCTCACTGCAACCTCCGCCTCCTGGGTTCAAGCGATTCTCCTGCCTCAGCCTCCTGAGTAGCTGGGACTACAGGTGCACATCACCACACCCACTAATTTTTGTATTTTTAGTAGAGACGAGATTTCACCATGTTGGCCAGGATTCTCTCAATCTCTTGACCTTGTGATTCTTCTGCCTCAGCCTCCCAAAGTGCTGGAATTACAGGCGTGAGCCACCGCTCCCGGCTGAAACTTTTATTTGTATTATTATTTTTTTTTTTTGCACAGAGAACAATACAGCACATAAGCTGAACACATTTTCTCTGCAAATTTTTGTTTTTATGGTCATCAATGCATAGGACTGGCCATAAATTCCCTAGGGTCATAGAATCTTATGTATTTAGACCTTGACCAGTACTATGGTGATGATATGGTCAAAACCCCTCATTTTATACATGAAAAGAGGACTGTTGAACAGAGAAGCAGAGGGTTAGTTGCAGGTGAGATCCAGAAGTCAGATTTCCTAAGTACCACCTACTCTACTTCTAATATAAAATGCACCATGGGGGAATCCTAAGCCACAGTGGTATTTAGTGAATAAAACTTAGTGAAGAATAATATAATCTATTAAAACATCATGTAAAAATCATTTAAAAAGCATGGCTCACAAAACTCAGTTATTTACCCACTCAAGACTACTTTAATCCAGGGAAACCACGGTAAAGAATGATTTTATAAAGAGCTCAACTAAATCAGTGAAACAATGTTCATGGCTTTCAAAGTGAATTTTTTAGAAAGAAGGAAGAAATCAAGCAAGGAATACAGAATATATTGAACTAATTTGCCTAGGATGAACAGCCAGCGTGGTAATCTTACGACCCTGACTGCATAACCCTCCATCCTAAGAAGGAAGACAGAAGGTTATCCCATTGAGACCCCCAGATAAGAATACGACTGGGGAACTATTAATGGTAACAACAAACACGAGAAGTGAATTTTGGAAGAAGCAAGAAATATGTTTTTTTTTTTAATTAAACCTTATTTTGAGATAATTGTAGATTCATATGTAGTTGTAAGAAATAATATGAAGAGATTCCATGTACCATTTAGCAGTTCACCCAATAGTAACAGCTTGCAAAACCAAAATGTGATATTGTATATAATATCACAACTAAAATATTGACATTGACATAGTAAAGAAAACTTCTTTTACCACAAAGATCACCTTTTATAGGAACATCCAATTCCCTCTGTCCCTATCTCCTCCATATCTCTTGGCAACCACTAATCTGTTCCTTATTTATATAATTCTGTCATTTCAAGAATGTTATATCATACAGGATGCAATCTTTTGGGACTGGCTTTTTTGACTCTGCATACGTCTCTGAAGGTCCATCTGTCTGTCAATTGTTCATTACTGTTTATTGTTGAGTGATATTCTATTGGATGGATATACCACAATTTGTTTAACTGCCAACCCATCAAAGGACATTTGGGCTGTTTGCAGTTTTTGGCCACTATTAACAAAGCTGCTATAGAGATTTATGTATGGATTCTTGCATGAACCTAAGTTTTCATTTCTCTAAAATAAAGGAATTAAGTTTTCAGTAATTTGAAGTTTATGCATAATCAGGAAATTCAAATCTGAGGATTTAGTAGTATGTTGTGAATCCTATTTCAAATCCTTGTTTTCAAACCCTATCATTCCCAAACCGCAAAGACTGCCATGTATTGTATGAAACAGTATTGACTCCACCTGCTGTGGACAGTATCCTAAGCAGACCCTGGCTGTTCATGTTTGTGATCTCTCTTAGTACATACCTATTCAATCCTGATTATTTTACAAAATCTGCAATCTTATTACTCTTCATAAGCTCAGTATATGTGGTGCTGTCTCTTATGGCCAAGTTTACTTCTTATAGACATGTGCTAAACTGATCCTCTGTACCACAAAATGCATGCAAATCTGCTTAAAGATGATGTTATCTAGCTTTGAAAGAAATGAAACAATTATCAGTATTTTTTCCCACTCAAATAAATAAATCCATTTTGTTTATTTTTTAATTATAAAAAACCAGTAGATAAAAACTGCTTAAAATAATGCATGATAAGTTACATCAGAATAGACACCATCGACCAAAAAAAAAAAGGGTGGAAAGAAAAAAGAAATTTCCGGGAGACTCAATGGAAGATTTTCAACAGAGTAGCTGTTTGTTCTTTGAAGTACTAAACATTGAAACCAATGTTTTGCTGCATATTTGCAGGAAAGAGTTTTACTATGTAAATGGCTAAAAAGAATTTTAACACAGTCTTACAGAATAAACTGTGGTCAATTGTTGGACATGGATCTAGCTATTAAAGTAACTACATTCATATGAGAAACTAAATTTTAATAATCTGTTTTGATTATTGGCAAAAGTGGATAGAAATTTTCTTCTTTTTTAACTGCAAGTAATGATAGTAATATTGAAAATATTAATCTCATAAAATGGATATTGAGAATAAAGACAGTTATACTCAACTATTAGCTGTCTTGGACTTAGTTATGGCCTAACAAATGGAAACATTTCCCAGTCTTAAATTTATTTTGGAATTAAGAAACAATTTCAACTTATTTTTGGCTAGAAAAACTAAGATACATTAAGCTTAAAGGAGACAAAAGTTAATATACATTAATTGTAAAGTTTGAAAAGATATAAAAATAAGAGAGTAAAAAATAATGTTTGTTTTTTTTCCGCGGATTTTAAAAAAATAGCATTTTTCTCATCAAGAGAGATACGAGAATGAAATTCGAAGTCAGCAAAATAAAACATCTAGATTAGCTCCAAATATCTGTAAATCAAACAAGTCACTTCCCATGAATCAACTCATGACTAAGGAAGAAATCACAAAGAAAACTAGAAAATGTTTTCAGCTGAGTTATAATGAAAACCCAACATATCAACATTTTGGTATGCTGCTAAATTTATAGCACTAAATGCTTATATACAAAAAAACCTCTCCAATCAATCATACAATTCTCCATAGAGGAACTAGAAATGGGAGGGAAAATCAAATCCAAAGAAAGCACAAGAAAGGATAACAAGAAAAGCTGAAACCAATAAAATAGAAAAAAATTTAAAGAAAACAAAGAAAAGTTTTTAATTAAAAAAAAAAAACAGTTTTTTTGGAAAGATCATGAAACTCCAGACAGACTGATGAGAAAAAATTTTAAAAAAGAAGGGAAAAAAGGAGAAAATATAAACTACCAATGTGAAGAATGGTGGAGAAGGCATCACTAGAAATCCTACAGCTATTAAAAGGACAATCAGAAAACATTATGAGCAACTTTATCCCAATACATGTAACAACTTAGATGAAACAGATAAATTCCTTTAATAAGAAACTACCAAAGCCCATTCAAATAGAAATAGATATTATAAATAGCCTTACACGTAAGAATTAAATTGAGTTCTTAAAAACCTTTCTACCAAAAAATCCCCCTAAAATCCTCTAGACTCAGAAGGTTTCATTGAATTTTATGAAACATTTAAGGAATAAACAATACCAATTCTACACAAATTATTCCAGATAATAAAGCAGATGAAGGAATACTTCCAACTGATCTTATGGAGCTAGCATTCACCTGATACCTAAACCAGAATAAGATATCACAAGAAAAGAAAACTACAGATCAGTACTTCTCACAAATATAGATGTAAAAGTCACTAACAAAATTTAAGCAAGTAGAATCCAAGAATATCTAGAAAGGATAATCATCAGGACTAAATGTGATTCTTCTCCAGAATGCAAGTTTGGTTTAAAATTTAAAAAAAAAATTAATCAGTTCACCACTTTAATGGATAAAAAAGGAAAACAATTTAACCATCATCATATATGCAGAAAAACCATTTGAAAAAAATTTAAACATACATTCATGTTAAAAATTCTCAAGAAAAGTAGAAATAAGACGGAACATCCTCAACTTGATAAATGGTGTCTACAAAAATCCCTCAAGTTGGCATCAAAGTTAATAGTAAAAGGCTAAATGGTTGTTCAAGACCAGCTTGTCCAACATGGTGAAACTCTGTCTCTACTAAAAATACAAAAATTAGCTGAGTGTGGTGGCACATGCCTGTAATCCCAGCTACTCAGGAGGCTGAGGCACAAGAATCTCTTGAACCTAGGAGGTGGAGGTTGCAGTGTGCCAATATCGTGTCATTGCATTCCAGCCTGGGTGACAGAGTGAGACCCAGTCTCAAAATAAAATAAGTTATAGTATAGTTTTACAATGTAACACTCAGGCAATTGACATGAATGAATTACAGGTACATGCACCAAAATGAATCTCAAAAAACACTGGTTTGAATGGGAAAAAAATCAGATATATACATAAAGTATGATTTTATGTAGATAAGGTTCAAAATACTATCTCCCAGGCAGGATAGCATGATCATTTATGAGCATGAGCTCTGGGAGACAGTTGCCTATATTTACATGCTGACATTTTCTAGTTTAATCTTCAACTCCTTGTGCCGCAATTCCCTTATCTGTACAAGGAGGACACTAGTTCATTTTAAGATGTATCAACCTGGGGTAGCACCCAGAAAGGAACAGTAAATGTTAGACATTGCTATTATTGTCTAATCCGCTAGGGGGCGCCACAGCGGCACCAGGACAGCGGGGCAGGCCCCACGGCGACACTGGCTCTGCCTGCAGAAATCCCAGCTGTCATCACGGAAGCTTGTAAACCACCGTGGAAAAGGAGGGGAACCAGGATTCCGGAACCCCAGTGACAATTTGGTCCAAAATACCAGTTGACATTTTTAGTCAAGTCCATGATTGTTCTGAAAAACCAGAATCATAAGAAAAAAATAAATGAAGTCCAACTTCAAGCAAGATAAGAACTACACACAAGCCATTTCTGATTTCTTTTTCCCCAAGGCATGGATTTTGCAGCTGGTAGTCATTTCCTTGACCCTTTTCCCCCTGTCTCTCAATTGATTGTTTATTGGCACCTTCCTCAAAGAATAGGACCAAAGGAAAAAGATATAAAATAGAGATTCAATTGACCCTTGCATCTGAGAGTTAGTCATTTATTAAACTCCAGATGTGGCATGGTAGGGCTAAAATGTCATCATGCTAAAATAATTATTGGAGAATTGAGATTTTTTTTCAGGTAATCACATGGTGGTCTATTTTATCTGGCTTCTTATCAACTGGTTTTTATAGTTTGATTACTGAACTGTCAATTTGGGGAATAAAGTGATTTTTTTTTTCTTTTTTGAGACGTAGTTTCACTCTTGTCATCCAGGCTGGCATGATCTTGGCTCACTGCAACCTCTGCCTCCTGGGTTCAGGTGATTCTCCTGCCTCAGCCTCCCGAGTAGCTAGGATTACAGGTGCCCGCCACCATGCCCAGCTAAGTTTTGTATTTTAGTAGACACGGGGTTTCATCATGTTCTCCAGGCTGGTCTTGAACTCCTGGCCCTCAGGTGATCTGCCTGCCTTGGCCTCCCAAATTGCTGAGATTACAGGCGTGAGCCACTGCACCCGGCATAAAGTGATTTCTTGCGTTGATATTTTTGGAGTTATTATTTAAGGTTTAATCTACTTTCCAATGGAAGGCTAATAATGATCAGTAGAAAAGAGTGAAAATTAACATCCAAAATGAACTGTGATCTCTAATGCATTGCGAAAATTCCACATTGTTTTCACTAGCATTTTTTTTTTTTTTTTTTTTTTTTTTTTTTGAGACGGAGTTTCGCTCTTGTTACCCAGGCTGGAGTGCCATGGCATGATCTCGGCTCACCGCAACCTGTGCCTCCTGGGTTCAGGCAATTCTCCTGCCTCAGCCTCCTGAGTAGCTGGGATTACAGGAGCGTGCCACCATGCCCAGCTAATTTTTTGTATTTTTAGTAGAGACGGGGTTTCACCATGTTGACCAGGATGGTCTCGATCTCTTGACCTCGTGATCCACCTGCCTCGGCCTCCCAAAGTGCTGGGATTACAGGCATGAGCCACCGCGCCCAGCCTTCACTAGCATTTTATCTTAACCCTACATACAAAAGGCTATTGTACTATTACAATGTGTTGCTTACTACTTACCCTCTTATTTCCACCTGCGCCACAGCAGTGATGTTGATTTGCAGGCTCACAGAATTGCTGTCTGGATTGTCCTTGTTGGAACTAAAACACAGGGACATGTGATTTAAATATATTTGCTCAGATGTATTATTACAATATATGGTCATAAAAAACATTCTGTATATCACAGGAGCAATACACATCACTAACCTGATCGTTGAGAAAACAAATGTATTCATTCTCCAAAATCATAACCATTTGTATAGATAAATGCTAAGATCTTTTATGATCAACAGTAATGTGACAACTTTCCATGAAGAGACACTTTCATGGAAAGTGTCTGGAAATATAATAGATATCTAGAGAAACTAACACTTTTTTAAATGGATGAACTAAAAAGGCACTGAACTGAGTTCATTTTTGCAGCTTCTACTTTGGACAAATTCCTTACATCTCCGTGCATGTCATGTTCATTGCCCAGCAAATACGAAGCGACAGCTTAGCCCACTCCTGATTTTCCTTGCTAATAAAGAGAACTGGCATGAATAATGCAGAGAAACACATAATCGAAACAGCATTTGTGTTTGGCTCTGGGATGCATCATACCATACATTGGCTTGGCAGCAATTTCATCTTCCTTGTGGTTTATTTCTTAAGTTAGTATTAAAATAAGTGTGCATTCACTGAATACTCACCAGCCGACTAGGACAAGGAGTTGGAGGGTATTTTAAAAGACTGGTTTAAATAACACACTTTTCATCATCCACAATACCCTGAACATATAAATAGACCTAAGGAGTTGGACGGTTCATAAACAGCCAATTAGGAGATGACGTGGATATTTGCAAAATGCATCAAGAACCTCTAGAAAGTATGTGTTTAACAATACTTCTTTCAACAGTGGCAAAATTATTTTTTGTTTGCTGGGTTTTTTTTTTCCCGCAAATATAATTAGATATGAAACAGCTTTTTTAAATGTATGTGTTTCAAAATGCATGTGCTATAAGGAAAATAAAACATACTTCACAAAGAGGCTCAACCAGTAACTGAGTTTTAGAGGCAGCTTCCATTTGCATTTTATATTCCTATTATGCTTTCATTGAAGTCACTAAAAACTTAGCAAACTGAGACACGGCCACATCACCACTAACAGGTCATGTTTATATTCAGGTGTCATTAGGAAGAGAAGGCCTCCTTTTTCATGATCAAATCTCACCCAGATTTGATGGGCAAGCTCTGGCACCAAGAGATGGTAATGGGGTAGGTTCTGACCAGCTATGGAAGCTTTCCAAATGCGAGAGCTGGAAAAGATATGATAAAACTGCTTTCAAAGCAGGAGGAGGCAGAATTGTTCCCATGATGCTTTTGAAAAGTCCTGGCTGATTGTATATACTGATAAGACAACTTAAACTGCAACCACACATAAAAGATATAAACAGGCAAATGTCAGGCTCATTTCCTGGAATAGAGCATCACCACTAAGCCTGTGACTGAGCTGAAGGGACTTGTTCAGAGGCTGAATGCCAGTTTCCAGACCATTTCATTAAGATCACATCTGGGGAGGATCAGTCAACTAAAAGACATGTGTGTATATGTGTTTTTAAAGCAGTATTCTGAATTCTAACCACTAAGAAGTAATTCAGTAATTGTATTTGTTGTAGACTTTATGGTTCCAAATACATTATGAGTAATTCTTTAGTTTAGAAATTTAAATATAGTTGTGCAACAGATGAACCGGACTTTTTTCTATTTCCACTTCACTACTTCTTTGCAGCCATGGAAATTACAGTTATGAAAAAGCAAAGTTTCATTTAAGTTACTGCATAATTCTATTGTATTTTGTTCCCAAGTGGTTTAAATAACATACTTTTCACTACCCACAATACCCTGAATATGTAAATAGACATTGAACATTGAAATTGAAAGCATCCTTGAACACAAGTCTAACACGAGGCTTTTCGAGGTTGTTTTGAAACGCAGCAAGAACAACAGCCGATGCTGAATCCAGACCTTCTGGTCGGCTAATCATCTTCTATCACACAGACTTGCCGTGACACTTGCTACTGCCTACCAGTGGTATCAGCAAAATCTCCTTGTAAGAAGGGAACCAGGCTTGATAAATAACTTAGATGCTACCTTGACCCATTTCCTGAAAGGAAAGCTCCCTCACTAATACCACTGCTACATCCAAACAAGCCATCCATCACTGCCAGGGAAGCTGAACTCTTTAAACTGTTGGTGCTGGTTCTATACAAGAAATGATAAATTTCCTCTTTACAACTGCACCCTATGCTACATACTATGGATAGACATGTTTTTCACTTTATTACTGTGCAGCTATGTTCTTTTTCTTTACTATCTCCTATTTCCTATTTTCTAACATTCCCTCTACGCCTTCTGTGGTCTTCGGAATGTCAGCAAAGATAACGCAGTGTTCGTCTCACCATTACTAAGGAAGCAACTCTGAGGATGGTCACAAAGACCTGTTTGTATGTGGCAACTGCAATCTGAGACACGTTGTACACAAGGAGGAAAATGTTTATGTCATGTAGAACGAGGGCATGGAGAGAACGCTTAAGGCAAATATTTGGTAACAGGAAATATTTTAAGTTTATTAACATATAAAGCCCATTTCTTTTTTGACTTCTATTTGTGAAAAAGGGATTCATTAAATGCAGGTCATGGCAGTCAATATATGGTTTGTAAGAGTTTAGACTTTGGAACATTTGGTTTAATTTATTTTTGGTTTAAACATATTTAAACCAAATGCAAAACCATCCATCTACATCCTTATTTTCAGCTTTGGAGTCAGCCAGCAAAGCATGCAGATAAACGCTCACCTCTCAAATACCCTAATATTCGAGTACTTACAGTGTTTTGACAGTTTTTACAATGTACACTGTAAAACTCAAATACTAATATTCTTCTGTTTTTTTTTTTTTTTAGACAGAGTCTTGCTCTATCACCCCAGGCTGGGATACAGTGGCACAATCTTGGCTCACTGCAACCTCTGCCTCCTGGGTTCAAGCTATTCCCCTGCCTCAGCCTCCAGAGTAGCTAGGACTTCAGGTACATGCCACCACAAAATGCTGGGATTATAGGCATGAGCCACCGCACCTGGCCTCAAACACTGTATTCTTGTTTTTATATCTATAATGTATGTTTTGGGAATTTAATGGGTGTATGTATATTCCAGTTCTTTCTGCATTTCTGCATTTTTATATTTTTTAGAGTAATGTTAAAATAGCCACGAATAGAAATGGAATGTAATCATTCATGACCCATTGTTTTACATGAAGAAGAATGTTAAAAAAGTGGTCATTACTATTTTACAGCAAATTCAGCACTTCATTACCGAATTCGTTATTTAGGGAAGGCATCTAGAACACCACATAGTGTTTTGGTTTTTTTTTTTTTTTTTGGAGACAGAGTCTCACTCTGTTGCCCAGGCTGGAGTGCAAGGGCGCTATCTTGGCTCACTGCAACCTCCGCCTCCTGGGTTCAAGCGATTCTCCTGCCTCAGCCTCCGGAGTAGCTGAGATACAGGCACCCGCCACAACACCTGACTAATTTTTTGTATTTTTAATAGAGATTGGGTTTCACCATGTTAGCTAGGCTGGTCTAGAACTCCTGATCTCAGGCAATCTGCCCACCTCGGCCTCCCAAAGTGCTGGGATTTCTTTTGCTTCTTAAATGAACTACTAATTGCATCCATTCTCTTTTGTAACTTCAACCAAGAGTGAGAAGGAAATATCAATGAATTTGCTTTGTACATTTGTACCAGACTTCCTTTCTATATAAAGGTTGTGTATTTTATGAGAGATGTCTTTTCCCAGGTGACACAAACTTCATGTCACTGGAGGATCAGTGGCACAGACAATTATAGAGAGGAATAGAAACTTCAGGTTACTATCTGGATGGTGGTTCTTTGCCATGACATGGTTTTTTGTCTTTGTTTTTAAGATACTTAGAAATATCAACAAAAGATTTCCAAAATAAAAATATTTAGGACTACCTAAACCTTCAACATATTTTTATAGATAGAAAGAAATGATTTAATATGCTTTTGGTAAAATGAAGGAATATTACAGAAGAATTCTCTCCTTCTGTATCCTATTACTAAACTGTATCCAAATTTAAAAAACCTAAAATTCAGCAGAAAATGTTTAAGTTAAATTCAAGAAAGACTTCATTAAGCTCGAAAATGAACACCTAAGGTAAGCTAAGAAAACCTTTCTCCCTAGAAATCTATCACAAAGTTTGGCCTGGGAGAGTGATTTGTGACACAGATTGCAGATTTTTTTAATCTGCTACATTTTTACAGAGTTTATATATATTTTTAAAAATCCTAAACCTTTTATTGAAATGTCTATTAAAAGGTAACCCATTACACAGAGTCATTATTCTAAAACTTATCACACTCTAATCATACTTCTTGCAAGATATTAAAATAAAATTAGAGATTAACCATCTTGCACACTAGTATTTGAGACCCAATTGTGGATACGGACTTCATAGACATTTTAATACTTAGAGCAACGGTTCACCATGCCAAGCAAGGTATAAATAAATACAGAGGACCCATATGTCCCGTTTACATCTGTGTTTTCAAACTTTTTAAACTGGAGACCACAAAAATACATACATGTCACTGGACGTCTTGCCATACATATTTATACTTACATGTATAGTATAAATATAAAATATTTATAACATTTCATGAACTTTACTAATATATGTCATATTGTATGTTACTTTCCATTCAATTTCCTTTTAATATTGGTCTAGAAATATTAAACTGATTCCATTACCCAGCTAATGGGTTGAAATCCACAGCTGGGAAGACTTTCTACGGGTCTTCCTGTTCATGAAATATTATTTTCAGCCACGAAGGAGCAAACAGAATAGGTGGTAAGAGGGTAAAATTACAGATGAATTCTAGAACAGTGTCAGCCTTAGAAAAGAGAAGCAGCTACCTATATGGCTCGTCTTATCACTGCTAGAGAAGGGTTTGCCCTCAAAATAGAGTATCTCACCTGCATCCTGCCACAGTGCTCACAGGTAAGCCATCAAAGATTCATTTAGTCTTGAAAGCTGAAGAGACTTCAGCATTGCAAATGTGAAATCTATGCTTTTTTTGCACAGATTTTGTTCTCAGGGACTAGGTGACATCCAGCTGAGAGCATAGGAGTTAGGGTGGGAGAGGGTATGTGCTTTGGAATGAGGAAAAGCAGGAGTAAAGCAGGTGGGCGGGTGCCCAGGCACAAAATTTTGCTATCTCACAACTTCAGTCTCTTTTTCTCAACCCCTAAAATGTTGAAATAACAGAAACAATGGAGAAAAACAAAGAAGAAATGAGCTGTGAAAGTCTAGGTGCTAATTTCAGAAGAGGTTTTAAGGCGAATGACCCTGACAAGGGGCATCATTTCACTGTGGATCTCTTTTCTGTTGAGTGCTGTCAATAACGTAGGCATGTAAAGGTCTAACCTTCTGATTTGGAGATCGAAGTTAATGCTCATGTTTGTTTTCTCAAGACGTGGAACTGCAAATCGGAGGCCCAGAGAATACTAAAAAATAAAATAAAATCACACAGGACACAAAGTTATTACATGAGAGTAGCTTGTACACAACAAAAAAATATTTAGTAAGTCATTCCTGCAAAACGCCACCCTGGATCACCGTAACTCTCCTTTGTTCTGCTTCTACCCCAGGTGGCTGACAGCTGAGAGAAGCCATGCAAAGAACTGCAGGCCCCAGAAGATTCAGGTCACGGTGCAGGTTGGTTCTCTCTCTCCGTTAACTCCTGTACTGCCTTTTCTCCTGCCACCTTTTTGTGTGTTAAATTGAAAGCAATCCAAAGCTATGAGAAGAAACTGATTGATTGATTGATTGATGAGACAGGGTCTCACTCTGTCACCCAGGCTGGAGTGCAGTAATGTGAGCATGGCTCACTGCAGCCTCAAATTCCCAGGCTCAAGTGATCCTCCTTCCTTAGCCTCCCAAGTAGCGGGGACCAGAGATGCACACCACCATGCCTGGTTAACTTTTTTGTTATTTGTAGAGACAGAGTCTAGTCTGCTCTTGAACCCCTGGTTACATGCAATTCTCCTGTCTCGGCCTCCCAAAGTGCTGGGATTATAAGCATGAACCACCACACCTGGCCAGAATTTGACTTAGAAAACTATGATGCTTCTATTTGATGGACATTTATATAGTCATTGAAATTATAGCTGTGAAGTCAATGCAACAATATGGAAAATGCTTCTAATTAGTAACAATCAACAATGAATGAAGGCTACAATGTTTATGTGCAATGCATCTGAGCTATGGGTTTAAAAGTCTACAAATCGAAAAATTCATCTACAGTACAGGAGTGCAGAGGTACTATAGGAAAATGTTTCAGAATAATATGTTCTAGTTGAGGTTACAGTTATATGGATTATTTTCTCCTTTTTTATTTTTCTAAATTTTTAAAACTGTTTTTTTTTATCATTTTTATAACCTGGAAATAGATAAAAACATGGAGAAAATAAATCCAGTGATGATATAAATAAGGAGTAAAAATAATAGTTAACACATCTGTAATATTATGTTACTTTCTTTTCCAAGCACTATACTATCCCTTACACACATGATCTCACGTAGTCCCAAAAAGCACTCTGAGGTAGGGGCTGTTACAAATGACATTATACAATTGAGCAGCAACCTGAGGATTAGAGAGATGAAGTACTTGGCTCCAGGTGGAGTGCAAATAAACCACAGAGCTAGAATTGAAATCCCTGCAAGCCAACTTTCAAATCTGTATCACAGCCATTACAGTAGCAGAATCAAACCATTAACAAAATCTCATATTCGTATGACTCAGTAACAATATGAACTAATAATCAATCATCTCTTTTTTTTTTTTTT